GACAAAGTGGCGAGTGCAGGTTGCCGCAAGAAAGGGGCACCCCTGCGTCTACGATTGTGGCCAACTTCGATTGATATCTAACAGGGGGATTAACTGACAGTAAGTTTTCCTTTACATTTGGACATCTCCTAACAACTCCTAATACCTTCTAACACCATGTAACATCTCCTAACATCTCCTGACACCTCCTAACATTTTCTAATAACTCCTAACAACTCTCGACAGTTCCCTTCAATTCTCTTCATTTTCTGGCACATTTCCCTTGATTTACCCTTCTTTCCCTGGTGCATATCATCGCCGATCCGGATACAAAAGGTAAGTCTCGAGCTAGATTATTTCTCTTAATACCAAAATTTAATCTGTGCAACACATCTTCGTTCATCACGATCTACTGGTAAGTAATCTAAAGGTAAGTTTCGAGACAGAATTAAAAATTATAATAAATCTTCGCTTATCACGTTCTCCTGAGACAAGAGGTAAGTATCGATATTCAATAAAAAGCTATGCATTGTTGAACTTGCAACTTTGTTGAAGTTCTGCGGGGAGCGATTTGCAACATTGTTGAACTTGCAACTTTGTTGAATTTTTGCGGGAAGCGATTTGCAACATTGTTGAACTTGCAACTTTGTTGAATTTTTGCGGGAAGCGATTTGCAACATTGTTGAACTTGCAACTTTGTTGAATTTCTGCGGGAAGCGATTTGCAACATTGTTGAACTTGCAACTTTGTTGAATTTCTGCGGAAAGCGATTTGCAACATTGTTGAACTTGCAACTTTGTTGAATTTTTGCGGGGAGCGATTTGCAACTTTGTTGAACTTGCAACATTGTTAGAATTCTGCGGGGAGAGATTTGTAACCTTGTTGAACTTGCAACTTTGTTGAATTTCTGCGAGGAGCGATTTGCAACTTTGTTGAACTGGCAACATTGTTAGAATTCTGCGGGGAGCGATTTGCAACATTGTTGAAGTTTGAGCGGAGTCGTTGCAACATTGTTAAACCAGGAAATATCACAAATATGAGGCGAAATTAAAGGGAATGTACCAGGAAGTAAAGGAAAATATACCAGAAAATGGAGGAATAATAACCGTTTGACTGCTAAGCAATTCTTGCAAGAACGCACGAAAACTGCGGAACATATTCAGATTTGATGTTGCTACCTTTTGTTGTTGTGTTTTGTTCCTGATGTTGCTCCTTTTGAAAGACATAGTCAAGACACACTGAAACTCGCAGCGCAAAAGCGCTGCGTCGCGATTTTCGAGACAAATGAACGCAGCGCTTTTGCGCCACATAGCAGTCAAACGGTTGAAGGGAAATGTGTAAGGTAATGGAGGGAAATTAAAGGGAAATATATCAGGAAATAGAGGAAAACTAAATGGAAATATACCAGGAAATGGAGGGAAATTAAAGGGAAATGTCACAGAAAGTGAAGTGAAATGTACTTCAGTGAATTTACAATATTGCTAGTAATGGTTGCTGCATAACAGGGGCAACTGTGCCCCTAAAATGTAGCAACCGTGCACACAAACTGGCTAGCTTCGGTTGCCAACTAACAGGAGCATACTGCCGTCTACTTGCGGCAACTAACATTTACATATGTAAAAGGAGCTATAATTATAGACTCTTTAGATAGTGGTGCCATAGTAGTAATACTGAAAACTATTATCATTACAAACTTGCGCGTTTTACCACTGATGGCGCCTCTAGTATAAAAACCAATATCAGTATAATTCAGTGATTAAATATTACCAAGTAGCAGTTGCTATGTTAGTACATTTTCCTTTAATTTCCCTTGATTTCCCGACACAAATCCCTGTAATTTCTCTATTACACGAATGTATTTAACGCCGTCAAAGTACTAGTGAGAATCGACTAGTGTTCTGTGGCCCTCTAGCAACGAATACGCAAATCGTCGTCACAGATGCTTCGAAAATATGGCGTAAAGTGAATGTTGCACATGTGTCAGTGATTTCGGTAAGAGGTCAAATCTTATGTTGAATTTTTTTGTCTATCAACGCACAGAAAGGCATGTTTATTAAGTTTTGTATAATGATGAAACGTAAAGTGATTAAGAATTCCGAGGAAATCGGGTCGATCGTAAACGATTAAGACGTGAGCTTGGACACAGCGAGTATTCGGCCAGCCATTTCATAAGACCTTCGGATACGTTTATTCTCGTTAGTGTCGGGTTAACAAACTGGTGCGACATCAATTCGACATTTCCGTTTCCATTAAGTCGCTAAATATCATCGACGAGCCCGTATGATATCTCAGGACAAACGTTTCGTTAATCGACACGAAACAAAACCGAACGTTGTTAACTCGCTTCTACTGGCACGAGAGCGCATTCCGATCTTCTGAGTGTTATATGCGCAATTTTCGTTCGTCTAGCCTTATTACGTTTTCATCGCAGAAACGTTTTGAAAAGCGGGTTACACGTTCTTCGTTTTTTGGCCCATCCGACAACAACCGGCAGAAACTGTGAAAATAAGCCTGCGCTCATGTTTCGTGAATTCATCGCTTTGTGACGTTGTTTATTGTATGTGTTGTTTTTATCGAATCTATATTAGTAACAGTTCCTAACGTGTTCTATTTGTGTATAGTAGCAGTCTTGTTTGATTCGTTAAATTTTGCAATTTTCACCGTTTGGAGAAAACTATTTTGTTCGTGTAAATGGGAAAATATAATTTCCTGTTTTGCATTTGTAACGAATGCACGAGAGGCACACGATGGTTCAATGTTGATTTCAAAGATCGTAGTTATGTTCGTTTAAACATGGTACTGTTCAAGTACGATTTTTCATACGATACTATTACAAATTGAAATGTTAGCTGTATAAAGATTTCTCACATTTGTGGAACCGGTGTAATAATCTTTCGTTACTTTCGATATTTTAGACTGAAACAAGCATACGTGGTGTGGATTCTATAGTATATACTGGCAGAAAGTATATTTTTCATAAAAACAGGACTGTTAGGTAAGTTTTAAGAATAAACGTATATGTAAAGAATACAATTTTTGTAAATACGTATTTTAATAGATGCCAAATGTTTCTGTTATACATTTTGAACTTTCCAATGTAGTAATTTCACTCTTGTAACTTTGTATTATTACGTAGCGAATGTATAGGCTTTGAATAAATTTGTTAACTTGATATATCGTAGACTTTCATTTATTTAGCAGTTGTGCACAAAAAAAAAAGAATGTAGAATAGAAAAGAAGCAACAGAGTGAGAAAGAAAAGGGGAAAGAGGGGAGAATTCTGATCTCGGAGAAGAGAGCCATTTTCCAAGTCTTCGTTTAGACATTCTAAATATAACTGGAGGCTCTATAGGCTTTCCTTACTGTGTCATACTGTGCAGAGTAGTATCTCACTGTGTTGCGTAGATTTTACTCATTTTCCACCTTTAGTATGGCATAATGCCAATTTTGTTTGTCTGAAAAGTACTGATCGGTTAGCAATAATCCTGCTAAATATTATATCCGTGAATTAAAAGTGGTTCTCCTTTCGATTTTCGATAACATTTAGGGTAATATTTGTTAGTGCAGTAATTTCATTGAATATTTTATGAAAGAACATTAATATGTATAAACGTAATATAATTATTTTGCTAGCATTTTATAGATATGTTATTTAAGAACAATGAATATATCTTTTTGCTTGGAAACGACACAGTAATTGATGCAGTGTATGATAAGAATATATTAAATAATATAGCTTTATATAAATATATTTAATGTGTTGTATTGCTTTACTATCTATATCTAGCAAATTGTAATATTACGACACATTGTTGGACTTCTAACCTTTTATCTGATGTCTTATTACAGACCATGGTTTGTAGAGCTGGTCAAACATGTCTGATTCAGTTCGATCTGTTATTTGGATCTCAAGACAAGACTTTGACTCCTGACAGATATCCCCTACGCGAGTCCACTCGTGGTAAAGATCTTTATGATTATATCAAAGAACATTGTCACATACAAGCAGACAGGTTTAAATTGTTTCTATCATCAGCTGGAAGACTGGTTAGTAATTATATTTTTCTTTATTTTATTTTCTTTCACTGTTTATTATTTTGTTAATGTATAAATTAATGGTGATTTATCGTCGTTAGATTGATTTATCTGGTATGAAAGATAAAACTATGTTAGAAGTTGGCGTGGATTTTTCCTTTGATCGAGATTCAACGGAACACAAGCACACGCTCTTAGTCACGGATCCTAAAGTTACTTGCAAAGCAATCATTATCAAGCAGAGGATGATGCGCTCTTTGTCTACGTGTAATTCAGTGCAAACATCCGCAAATCTTTCATCGATATGCGAAGAGGATAAAAATGTTGATGTTAAAAGTATTTTTAAATCTGAAACATGTATGTGACTAATATCTGTATACTTTTTTTAATCTTACGCTTCGCATTTTGTTGCGTATATTTTTTTCAAGTTTTCTATATTATTGTTTAAGGTTACGTGGGTTTAGTAAATCAGGCAATGACATGTTACTTAAATAGTTTACTTCAAGCACTATATATGACACCTGAATTTCGAAATGCATTGTACAACTGGGAATATGTAAATGGATCGGAAACAGATGAAGCTAATAGTATTCCATATCAATTGCAAAAGTTATTCTTAAATTTGCAGGTATTAACTGGTCTTGTAATAATTTGTGTAACTTGTAGTATGATTTAATTGTGACATGATTTAATAATAGACATTTTTATATTTGTAGACGTCAACAAAATCAGCTGTGGAGACTACAGCATTAACAAAAAGTTTTGGTTGGGATTCTACGGAAGCTTGGCAGCAACATGATATTCAAGAACTTTGTAGAGTTATGTTCGATGCGTTAGAACAGAAATTTAAAAATACAGAGCAAGCTGATTTAATCAATAGGCTTTACGAAGGTATAAATTTGAGTCGTTTGTATGTGTCAGAAAAAGGAAGAGTTGTAATTTCATTTCTATGTTAGGAATGATGACCGATTACGTTAAATGTCTCGAGTGCGAGACTGAGAAATCTAGAGAGGACGCTTTCCTTGATATCCCATTACCGGTTAGACCATTTGGTAGCGATGTGGCATATAACAGCGTGGTAAGCTCATATAACACATATTAATAAATTAATTATTATGAACTGAGTGCAGATAAAAATTCTGTTTAATAGGAAGAAGCCTTAAGAGCATTTGTTCAATACGAAACTTTGGACGGAAGTAATCAGTATTATTGTGAAAAATGTAATAAAAAATGCAATGCGCATAAAGGATTAAAATTCACAAAGTTTCCATATCTTTTAACACTTCATCTTAAACGATTTGATTTCGACTTTAAAACTTTCCACAGAGTTAAACTTAATGATAAGTGAGTCTGTGTGAATTGACGTTCACGTGTGACGCGTATTATGATTACTATATGCATTGATAACCTATTTTTTAGGGTTACTTTTCCGGATATATTAAATTTAAATCCGTTCATATCATCCACGAGAAATCAAGAATCTCCGAGTAGCGATGAAAATATTGATTTAGTGAAATGTGAGGATGGCTCAACAACAGATAACGGTACTTTAGACGATGATTATACTCCCTGTGAAAACAGTCTTCCCAATAGTAATCATTCGAGGAATCATGATCATGATGACGATGATGAAGGTATATTCATTTCGTAAGTCACACGTTCGAAGATTAACGATTACTTGAACAGTTTATTTTTAGATATATATATAAGTAATTGTCCGTCAACGTCAAATTGCACTGTGCATAATCATGAAAACGAGAAAAATCATAGTAGTAACGAGGCAAAGGGTCCTTATAATTATGAACTGTTTTCGATTATGATTCACAGTGGTAGTGCCAGTGGTGGTCATTACTACGCTTATATAAAAGACTTCAGGACACAGGAATGGCTGTCTTTTAATGATCAAAGTGTAACTCAGGTACGCAAAGCACTGGACTTGTACTGAGAATACTTAGACTCGATTTAGAATACACGCCAATAATATCGTTAAAATTCTAATGATTCTAATTATAGATAACTCACGATGATATACAAAAAACGTATGGTGGTGGCCCAACAAGGCCATACTACAGTGGAGCATATAGTAGCACCAATGCGTACATGCTCATGTATAGACAAATTGATCCTGCTCGTAATGCTTTACCTATGCAAGTGCCGGATTTTCCTAAACATATACAGGTAACGTATCAAATTTTGTAGGTCTTACTGTATTCGTTACGCACTTCATTCGTATCGTGGATTATCGAATTTCAGGAACTATTGACAAAGATGAAAGAGAACGAGGATAACGATAGAAAGAGTCGTGAGAAAGAACCGTTTCAATTACCGAAAGATATGTTCATATGCTCTAATAAAGAACCGCTGTTTGCGAAAGAAGTACTTTATGGTTTTGAAACAATGCGAGTGCCTATAGAATTTCACTCACGCTCGTCTAAATTTACCGTAAAAATATACTCTAAGAAACAGCGTAGTATGGACAGTAAGATGGAGTCCCATAAAATTTCCTTTTACAACAATGCAAGGTTGGCGGATGCCACGGAACAGTGTTATCGATACTTCCATTTAAAGGGGGTAGTTAGATTAAACCGGTGTCGTTTAGTTCACTACGATGCCATCAAAGATAAAATACTGCGTAGTTTCGAAGGTAGAGAAGTTGAAAAATTTCATAGTCTCTCGAAAGGTGGGAGGTATACCTTCTTATTCGAAATACGGGAGGAGGACGAAGAGTTTCAACAATATCAAGAAACTGGTATGTATATAATCGTACATGCGTAAATATTTAAACGCGTCAAATATAAAAAAATATATCATTGTTTCTTTTTTTTCTTCTTGTTATAAATATGCAGGTTTTACTACAAAAGTATACATAGTCGATGTAAATAGAAAATCGCTCATAGAAGGTCCGATAGATGTACCGGGATTGCATTCGCAAACCGTGAAAGAATACAAACAAGTGGTAGGGAAAATGGTCAATATGGATCTTAGCGATATGAAATTAGTGTTACAACATGACTATATAGACACGCATTTTGAACCGGAGGACGAAGTTGAGCTTGGGCCCGCAGGATTCGTTCCTTTGATCAACGTATATATATCGAATGTACCCGTTGACGAACTTCAAGCTTTCCATTTCTCGGCGTTATACGAAATAATAGAGAATCACAAAAATATTATAACGCTGCGCGTGGAATTACCTGAAACAAGTAAAGGTAAGTGATGCTGATGCTAAAACAGTAAGTCTTCGACTTATGCGGTTAATTTGTTCCAGAGCTTTCCACGTAAGTCGAATTGTATAAATACGATGTAGTGAAGGGAGAAAGGATGATCAGTCTCGATACATGTGTAAGTGATATACGAGCAGTGTCCATTAACTTTTACTTGGTCGCAGGCCTCACGAAGGCTGGCTATAAACGTTTCACCCGACACGGCTCACAATTCCTTCCAGAGCTGACATTTGTTCTCCCTACAATGCATTTGGTATATACAATCGTAGTTTCACAAGTTAATCAAAGTTGAGGAGGTTGGCTAGTAATCTTGCGGGGCAGGCGGTAAGAGGAGTAATACAAATTTATTCGAATAAACAATTATCTTATAGTTCTCGGATAATTTTGTTTCTGATTTTTTATTCGAATAATGCGCAACTCTGATTAAAAAACGTTTTACATACTTACACATGCACACGGACACGCATATACAACATGTATGTATAAGGACATAAGTGAAAATACACTTGCGTATCTTCGAAACCGCGTAATTCGAGGACTTACTGTATATTCGTGACGAAAGTGACGCGTTACATTCGAAAATTATGATTTATTATTACGTACTACGTTTCGCTGGAATGTTTTAGAAATTTTTGAAGAGTTGAACATACCGAGGTTAGATGAGAGATGTAAGGATAAAGATAAACCAATTGCCGATAGTCCATCCAAAGTGAACGTTAACGATACGAATTGCGAAGTTGGTCCCAAATGCAACGACGTCCCAAAAAGCGAAAAGAGTAACGAGGATACGCCTGTAAGAAACGCGAGCCCACAATTAGGAGAGAGCGAGGAATGGAATACTCCCGAACAAAGTAATAGCGAAGATAGCAGTCTTAGCGACAGCGATAAAACTTTGGTCGGAGATGCTCCTGAAGATGATGATTTACAAGTACCGTATCTTCCATTAAAAATGAACAATCGTGACATTGACATGCTCAATCAGATTAGACTCGAGAACTGGATCAACGTTGACGAGGATAAGGAATATTATTTCAATGCTACACCTTGTACGGACGCCGATCAAAAATGTACGAGCCTTAATTTCGTTGTGCGAAACATATCGGCGTTAATATTGTTAACAAAACCCTTTACTTTAATTCCAGATTTGAAAGTAACATTTGACAAAAGAATGATGATGAGCACATTCAAGAAATGTTTGGAGCCATACGTTGGCGTGCCAGCGGAATATTTTAAACTTTTCTACTATGCTAACGAACATTATGGACGCGAATGGCGTGGCTTGAAAAAGACTCTTCTATGTTGCGAGAATGAACAGAAGTTTTGTATAAAGCTCGGACCTTCTTTGCACAACGACGATTTTACAGTAATGGTGTATCAGTTTCTTATCAAGTGGCGTGTGGTACGTGTACATTCGAAAGATATCCTTTTGTAGATTTTTAATATTTCTGCACGATAATGTTCACTCTCGTAATATGTTTGTAGCTTTACAAATTTTTGGGCGACTGGACCTTGACGAAGGATATGACTGTCGGGCAGGCGAAAAGGGAAATCCTGTCGGATATTAAGAAAAAACACGACATAGATATACCGTATGATAGATGTCGATTAAGAGAAAAGCGTTTATCGTTAGCGTCCACGGTATATTTAGACGATGAGAAACTCGAGAAATACCGATTTCATTCGCAATCGGAAATAATCCTACAAGAGTTACCTGATAAAGAGCCAGTTACCAATAGCGATCAAGTTGTGCTATTCGTCAGAAGATGGTCCCCTGCAAACGCGCAACTTGGACCGCTAGAGGAAATTGTTATGGATGGAAATTCTCTAAACGAAATGAAGAAAAAAGTAAGGTTATAACGGGTTTATACTTTTAACTAGATATCGCAACAGATACATTTAACATTCACGTGAAATTTCTACTTAGTTATCTACGATATCAGATATTCCTGAGGAATACATAGAGGTAGCAAGGACGAAAAGCTATTTTCCAAGTAACGTGTCTATCGGTCGAATTGAAAATGAACAAGGGTGGATCGGAAACGTTCTAGATAGCGAATTCGATTCCAATGATGGTTCGATGTTTTTATATAGGTACGTACAACCCTTAATCAAAGAATATTCTAGGAAGTATTCTAGTCTAGCTATGGGAAACCGAGTCATTTCTCAAATTTTACGAAACCAAAGCTATTGAAGACTTTCGCATTCAACAGGGATAACAGAGAAGAACGAGGAAATTTGAACACGGACTCGTTAAATGACGACTCGAATTATGTACTAAATCGTGTATTGCGTAATTCGCGTCGCACGCGAAAAGAGAAGGCGCTCAGAATACATCTGAGCACCGAATGATCGTCCATTGAACATACAACTTCTAAGAAACAACTGTTAAGTAGACATGTGTGGGAACATGAAACGGTTGCGTACAAAACAATTACACCGTGTCAGGTATGTGTAAAGTCAAGTATTCACCAATCGCCAAATACTCTGTGCTTCAGTAAATCTTTAACATTTGAAAGTTTTCGCGCGTCTAAAGTCATTTGGCTTTTCGAGTCGAACGGATTCGTGAAATTCATTGGTTTTGTGAAACATTACGCGTTACCGAGAGACTTCAGAACGCGATTGACGTGTCTCGTCGCGAAATTCTTTGAAACCGTTAGGATCGTAAAACTCCCGATAACCTACGAATTGCTGAGTTATTTTTCCATCTATCGAATTCTATTTAAGAGGACAAATGCTAACGGGGGTAACGAATGCGCTGATAAACGGTAAACAAAGAGAATACGGGACAGGAACATTGAATTGTTTGGTGATAATCCGAATTTAAACTATGAACTTCTAACGATTTACGTGTGTGTAACTGATAACATTTGGAGTTCCTGCGTCTACATTTTCACAAATGTCCTTGGTAGCTTTCGTAACCCTAGGAACTTTGATGCCTCCGCACATCCGTATCGAAACATTTCAGACAACTGTCTTGTTTGAAAAGTTAGATGTTTCTAATGTCCGAACGCAGCACAGAGTATAACTATTTGTTGAAGGACATTTATCTGACACAACAATAGTTAACCCTTTTAATGCCAGTATAGGTTAAATTGCAGTCTTACAACATAATTCTCAATCATAAGCTTCAAATTTATTTAATCTGACAGTAGTAGCACTTGTAATTAGATGTGTTATAAATTTCGACACTTTTTTTTTTTTTTATTTCGAATATGGTACATTGCTCTCTTTACCGTTTCAAACATATTAATTAAACACTCCATATTGAATTGTTTACCGATAACTAAGAATATCTGCATGGATAGTAAGGTTGCAAAAATATAACATGTGTTTGCTTAAAGTCTGACTTAGCGCCACTACTATCAAATTAAATAGAGATTCTTCCATATGGTCTGTTAAGATCCATTCTGGCCAGGCATGTATCCTGCAGTCTGTTTTAATTTATTTAATTATATATGTTTATCATTCATTATGTTGTCGGTACAAAAGAATCTGTACCGCTTGGAAAACCAAAAAGTACATTTAGCCACGGCATTGTTGTTTCCTACAAATCGAATATTCAATACTACGAAAAAAGATTCTCCAAGGAAGTCCACCAAATTTACATTTGTATGATAGATCGATTGCTTGTAAATAATAAAACTTGTGAATTGAATGCCAATATTTTTCTTTGTATCAATATCACCATACTTCTTAAACAGAATATAAAGCTATGTTTTGTATGTTATATTGTACAATAATGCACTTGATACATGTAGGATACCATCCTTTTGCATTTATCAACAGTTTAGCTTGGCACTTTTTGCTAATTCCACTGTTAGAAATTTTGGTGCTGAAAGGGTTAAAATACGAAATTGTTGTTAATCCTTGTCATTATTAGAACGTTTTGATAAAAGCTCTCTATAAATTGTTTATTATTTCGCAGCAATCGTTTCACGTTCGGAACGATTGCTTTGGGTTATAGTCAACAATGGATAGAAATGTAAAAAATTCATTGAAGTAAAAGAAATTTATGAGATATGTATTACCTTTAAAAACAATATCAGTTGTTGTATGGCGATTTACATTGTTCTCACAATTTTTATTATAGCTGTAATTTATATTTATTGTATATTTGTTATATGAATGCCTAGTTCGGATTGTTCATGATCGATCAACAATCTATTAAAGTCATGACAATCTAAATGTTTATATTCAAACAAAAAATAAAACGAGTCACACCTTTGGTACAGTGAATCTCTTACTGGAGTGTATCATTGTGTAGTTGAAAAGAATTTTGTAACGCATTTTCATCCATTTCATTTAATTTATTCAATTTAACTAACTTTTAATCGTAAATACGAGTCTAGAACCAAATATATGACATCCTCATCAATTTAATTGCCTATAACGAAGTGTAATGAAATGTGAAAATTACTTCTTTTTTGTTTTTCCCGTTATATAAAAAGTTTATATGAAAGTATGACAAGTAATACTGACTACGAATACGTAAAATTATTTATAATATTTTTCTTTTTATATTTGAAAATTGGTAGGTTTAATGTCCATTGCATTATTTTTTTCTTCGCTTTTTTCATATTCATTCTTATTTATAATGTTTGGAGCTGAACCTTGAATATTGTTTGTCGATTGTTTTTATAATTACCAGACAAGAGCAACTATTAGAACTGAGTCTGTTAAATAATATTGTAGGTATGTGTGAATAATAACAGTAGTATACAAAAAAATTAATATTTTTGCATCTACTTTTCAAACATATTAACTTTTCAAAATTGTGAATATTGTCAACTATTAATTTATTTGAGGTTTTTTGTTTTACCACAGTCTGTACGTTTGTTAATTATTCTCTAAATTTTCTTTTCAAACAGAAATAAATTCCTTCACGATTATAGAACGTAAAAACAGTTTGTTTCATATTTTATTTGTTTCTTCAATACTTGTGTGTACCCTACTATAAATATTTAGATATTCAAATTTCTCGTTTATAGTTTATACTTGATTCGTTTTTCTATAGATCTTCGATATACAAACGTATTTGCACATATCTACGTCAGTATCGAATGTAAAGAATGCTATAACTTGTATTTCAACCCGTTGAGGATGAATTAGTGCAGGAATGGTAATTCACGATGATCAGTTGTTACGAATACAGCCTACACCCAACACCATTTCCATCACCGGCGATCAAACATTCTTTGTATCATATGCTATAGTTTGAAACAAATTATATTTATAATTATTAATAAGTGATAATTGAAATGACTGAAATCGTTGTTTAGATACCCTCTATACTTATTCTCTAGATCAGGGCTCGGCAAATTATCAAGTTAAATTTTATTCTCTGTTTTAGATGTAGCTACATAGTTAATGATATTATTTCGCGTCCACGAAACTTGACGTCTACCTTGGGCACAGTCTGTCGATCCCTAGTCTAGATCATTATTATCCGGAGCTTGTATCGTGCAATTATTTTTACATAGCAATTTTTTTTTCCTGTACTTGCCAGATCGTTGTATGAATTTTCAATTTAATATTTTGCTCGAGTAGTGGAGAATTGAATAAATGTTGCGTTAACCTAACTATCCCTTAAGTTCGAATTTTCTTTTCTCTTCTTCATTCGCGGGCATATCGATCGTTACTATTGAAACAATTGTCACGGTTCATAAACGATAAATTACAAATTATAATTATGAATTGGTACGCGTAATTGATACTTTACGGACGATAACAACGATTAATTATTTTCGGAATATATTTACAAGTTACATACGATGAAAATTTGTGCTTTTTGTAAGCATTTCGTAGAAATTAGACGTATAAATTTGACAATCGACTCACATTTTTCTCATTTCCGCAAAAAAGTATTCCCGAACCAATTCCTCGTCCACGAAATATTAAAAGAGAATGTAGATCCTTTAATTTTGTAATTGCAGAAAATATTGTATCACCTTGAAGCACTATATTTAGTTTATTAATAGTTAATCGTGGGAAGAATGTATGTATCTGAAGACGATTTGAAAATACTATACGAAGGATGCCGACGTTCCTAAATTCGATTATTCATGTGTACCAATATTCATCGCACGAAACTAAAGACACTAGATGCGCAGACAATAACGACGTATAACCTCTAAAATTGAGCGAAACCAAGTGAAACTCTGACACTGGAACCAAGTAAAACATAAACAACGGTTCCGAATGTTACCGTAAACAAATTCGTGAAGGAAACAGGACATTCGCATCTGGTTTAATTACATGCAAAACATGGTGTACTTACACTTTCCATCGAACTTAACGGAAGAAGAATTGATGCTACAGGCGAAGTACAATAAACTTAAAAGAAAGGTATATAAGAGGTTATGTTTACGTTGTAACGATCGGTAACACTTGGATTTAAAGAGAATGGATCATTTCGTTCTGTTGTTTCGTATTTTGATGAATAAATACCCGAGCACGTTATTTAAATATTTAAAGGTGAGCGTTTAAGCAAACGAAAATTATTTCCAACGCTCCATATGTATCCATGATCATAGGTTATCGTTTCTCTTTATCCCACTTATACACTGAATACTGAATACATTGCAAAGGACGTTATGCAAGAAAACACGTACATTGTTTATCTATGTGTTCTTTCTGTTTGAAGAAAAAGGCATTGCAAGACTTAAAATCACCGAAACAAGAAGCTGAACGTGTGCCACAAGCACCTAAGCGACCGACAGAAGCCAGAGATGCTAGAGAAGTTGCTAAAAAGCTAATAAAGTCTGGAGTGATCACTGCTCCGAAAACACCCAAAAGACCCGAGCAATCGTTCAAAAGGCCACGCGGATTGGTGAGAAAGTTAAACAGTACAGAGAAAACGATAAGCTCCTATCAACCGTTTTCGGCTACCCAAATGGAAGAAGATGAAACGGAAACGGCGCGTCCTAGAGTCAAGGATTTGTACGACAGTTTCGTGAGCGCTCAAGATACAGAGGATCGCGCCAATGGCGATACTCAGTCACCGGTGAAACAAGAAGTTAAGCCACGTGCTGGGAATACGATATTTGTATGCGGATACAAAATATCAGAGGATTTCTTGAAGAAGCATTTCCAATCGTTTGGAAATATTATAAATATTTCAATGGAAGCAGAGAAGAAGTACGGATGATCGCTTTCAGACATTCCGCTGCTCGGAAATGCGTAAAGGTATTTTAACATGTAATTTTATTTTCCAGTCGAGGATTCGTGACATTTGACAAGTCGGAAGCAGCCGAAAGAGCGATAAGCGAAATGGATGGCACTATGGTATCTTCGATACAGTTAAAAGTATCGTTAGCACGAAGGCAGCCTATAATAGAACCTATGAACGACGTCACGTCTAGCTCTATGTGGTCACCGATCGCGGCGAATTATTCTCAGAAAAGTGCGCACAAAGATAGGAGAGAACTGAAAGTGTACGAGGAAGATCTTTTTATATAAATACGATATCTTAAGTTTGCCTACCTTCTAGAGTATGTTGTTGTTATGCAGTTACGATATTGAAATTTTTAATTCTGAATAAAAGTGTACAGAATCTTTAATGTTTTTAAGGTATTAAAAAATATCTTTTTCAATGTATACTCCTTAATGTTTGCGGTACCGCGTTAGTATTAATAAATTTATATCTAGTCAAGGAGTCAACTGGTTAAATTTTCTCGTATTCTCGTTACAAAAGATTCATGTTAACGACAGAGAGATAGTTCATGTAACGCTGGTTTCAGTAATAGATATATGTAATTAACATGTATTGTTTCTATACATATTCAGCACTTATTCGTTAAGTACAAGTGTTTTCGTAACAAATTATGTTCAAGTATCATTTTCTTACAAGTATCATCAGTCACTCATCACCGTATATAGCATTGGTATGAATTTTCAACCAATGAAATTCGTCGTTGTTTGACTTGTCATTAATTTTGTATAATTAGTATCTCCGTGATATTCAACAATTGACTGTATTCGTTAATTCGAGTTCTTATTTTTTATTATACGCTATCGCAACGCGTTAGGTCTATTCCATCCTGCATCGATTCCATATATCTCATTCTGCTAGAAATTCGATCTTGATATATAAAATTCATTTATAAGAATAATCAATTTAAATAAATATACAGTCAGCCGAAAGAGTCTCCGCACGCGAACGTGTACTTTTAATACTCCAATGTGTTGTGCAACTTGAATTGTATAAGTATGTAAATGAGATTAAGGAGTAGTTACGTAATAAAATTTTTAAGTAATATCTACTGGACTTTTAGTAGCACTTCTTTGTTTAACTGTACACGTTTGTCTGTAAGTTCCGTGATTAATGGAGAACCATCTCTATTAAAATTATACAAGGCTAAATAAATTGTACGGAGACGTTTTTTCGACAAACTGTACAGAGTAGTTGAACAGTGGCGAAACTGTCGTCGGAATCTTCGACGTCCGTGTCTCCGTATTCTCAGATTAGGGCTGGCTCTGATATAGCGAATTAAGCCGTTGCCTCCCAATGACGCCCCTGCCCAAGGTGTACCCGCGCTACGATAATCTAGTTCTCACCAAGCAAAAGTTTACCAGAGTAATAAACAAATTACTCGATCGTTTAATTTCCCCGGATCTCGCCAGCGAACGTGGAAGTCCCTGTAAAAATGCCCCTGAACAGGGCCCTGTTAGGTACGTTTCCGTTACTTTTTTTATCGGCCGATAGATAAAAGAGGAAATAGAATTACCGTAAAACGACGTAAAGTACGGCGATACTTAGCACTCGTCGTTTCAAAATATTTACGGGATTGTGCTGGCGTTGTGCGTTATTTGGGAGGATTAAAGTAATCCCAGTGATGATGATGAGTCACCGTTCGCGTGCCACCGAAGAAAAATATCAAAAGACCCGCGATCAGAAGCAGCAAAGCGCACAACGTCAACTCCACCTGCCTGATCTTCTCCGTCGTGGGTTCGCCGCTCGTCATGGTCGACATGTACCCTATAAAATGCCTCATGGCTTTTATGCCGGTTAATCGTAGGATTCTTATCAATTGTCTCGTGCTGTCCGCTATACTTGGATCGCTGTCGACGCGTTGGCTCGTCTGAGAGGTTAGGGCGAGGAACTGGGCGGGAACCTGCGAGGCTGGAAACGCGATCAGATGAGTACCAGTTATGGGAAACGAGGTTATGGGCGATTGGGACAGCTCCCTTTGACTATCTCTGTCGGATTGGTCCGCGTGAGAGGTGTATGAGATAACGGCACGTTGCGGTTGCATCTCGCTGGTGATGCCGTGGCTTGGGACGTCCGGTGTGTCCGGTGTGACGGATATCGCGGGTGGCAACGATCTTATGGGCGACGCGGTTTCCCGCGTTCGCGAAATACTTATAGGCGACGGCGATCTGGATCGCGACTTTCGAGACTTTTGCTCGGGTGATTCCTCTCTGTATTCTGTCGGCGGCGTCGAGAATTCGGCCGTGTGGGTCGGTACGGTCGTCGGTGGTTGTCTGCTGGTAGGCGCCGGGGACAGTCTCGACTCCGTGGTCTCTCCTGTCGTTACGGATGGGAGAAGGGACGCGCGCGATACTTCCACCTCGAGCTCCTTAGCGGTGCCCGAGCTCAAAGAGTGGGGGGTTTCTGAATCAGAAATGCGCAACGGCTTATCTTCGTGGCTTTCAACGGCTTGGGGTGAATGTATGGATGGGATATCTCTATCGTCGGTTACTACTCGAGAGATTGACAGTGTACGTGTTAACGGCATTTCCGTGACGTCTACTTGTGCAACGGCTAATGTATGTGTTACGGGTGTTCCCCTGTCCCTCGTCTCGGTTACTTCTCTTTTAACAACCTTTTGGTCCTCGTTCGGCATCGCTTTCTCGTCGTTCACGGCCGTCTGCTGGTCCCGTGGCTCCTGTTCGACGGTTCGGCTCTCTGTAACGGGAATGTCTGTCTTCGTCTCCGTCTCGATCGCCCTCGTTTGGCTCTCCCGTGCTCGAGACGCGGCCACGGTCTCCAGATGGCTCCTGATGGCCATCAGCTCTTTGATGATGGACGGGGAGAAGCTGTCTTCCACCGTAGCGCCCAAGCTCTTTAGCTCGGACGCGGTGATCAGCAACGCGTCCACCTCGGACGCGACGATCTTGCTCGCCTCTATCTGCGACACGCTTAACCGGTCCACCCTGAGGTCGCCAACCTCGAGGTTGCTGATTCTTACAGGTTCGTCGGGCGATACAGCGGAGTGCAAGGCGCGCGTGCGAGGTTCCTCGGGAGTCGGGTCTAAATGGGGCGCGGACAGGTGTCTATCTTCCATGGATTCGCGTTCGCGAGCGGGCGATGGGTCCGTCAAGGATACGGTGTCGTATGAGGGTTCCGTCTGTTCCTCCTTGCGCAGCCGTTGCGACACAGGCAATGGCGGAACGGGCGGCGTGGGCATGCTCGACGGGCTGGGTATTCTCTCGGTGGAGACCATGATCTGCGAGCCGGACCTGGACGGCGCCACGACCAGTTTAGCCTGGGTGATCTCCTCCTCGATGACCATGTCATCGGGTAACGGGTCCGTCTGGGTCGCGGTGGTAGTTTCCGCGGAGAACTCCTGCGTGATGGGAGCAGATCTTTCCAACGAGTGATCCTTCCTTAACCTGGGCGGTCTCGGTGGGGCCGGCAATGGCCGCCCTTGCATCTTGCTGAGGACTTCCGTGCTACGCAGATTCTTTTGCTCTCCGTCGTCGGAGTCCACCTCGATGTACGCTGTAGATTCGACTGGTTCCATAGCTGTCACGAACGCCTCGGACAGGACCTCGACGTCCCTGGTCTTCCCCGGACCTAGGGTGCTGTAGGCCCGTTGGGGTCGTTTTGGCGGGAGCGGTCGTGGCGTGGTCGCGAATTTGTCTCTCTTTCGTCGCGGAGGCGGCGGTCTGGGCGGCTTCTCGCGCTTGTCGATGATGGCGTAACCCGATAAATCTCTGCCAAAGTCCATCTCGTCGGGAGGAATGTCCTCCTCCACGTAGCCAGCTTCCGGCAGCGATTCGGCACCGTGGGACGTGCGGTCCTCGTCCTGGGCCACGGATGTCCCTCTGGATCTTGATCGTCGTTTCGGCGGGACGGGGACGGGTTCTACGTTCTCCTCGTCCCGGAGACGGGTGACCAGCTTCCTAATGTCCTCCTCGCTGTCGGCCATCATCAGACCTTCGACCGTGTACGCCGCCCGTTCGTCCTGCGATTACCATTTACGAAATAAGATTCAGGGGCTACCTTAACGACTAAAGCGCGAAGAGATCGAGACCGTGACTCGGAGCTTCCGAGATTCGAGCCTTCAGCGTTCAAGGCTGAACCTCTAGACCGAGACTCGAAGCTTCGAAGACTCCTGTCGACGGGTAACTTTACCTGCAGCGGGACAATCGTCGCGGGAGGCAACGGCAGAGGTTTCTCGGGAGCGGCGTCGGCTCCGGTCCACTCCGTGTGTCCGTTGCACATGGGCCCAATATCGCCGTTTCTGCGTTCCGCGGGCGTCTCTTTGCGCAGACGTTTCCGACGAGTGGGTACAACTGGCGGCGGCGGGGTCGGAGAGGGTGGACGAGGGGGTTCCAAGGGCACTTGGGACCGACTGCGCAGAGATGATTTCGATTTTCTGCGTATCGGCTTCACCACCACGATGTCGTCCAGAGGTTCGGGCGTGCCCCGTTCCAGAACCCCCTCAGCTTGGTACACGATTCGGTGTCTCGAATCGCTTCTGGTGCGCTCGCGGAACTGCTCGTCCGCGGATTCGCTGCGTCGGGACCTGTTGGGCCTGACGGGTGGCATCGCGTCATAGGACTCGAACGAGTCCTGCTGTTGCTGTTTTCGCGACGTTCTTCTTCGCGTAGGACGTTGAGGAGGGATGGGGATCATATCGTCGTCGGCCAGGGCATTGATAGCGTCCGCTCGTAAAGCATCCCTGATTTCATGGGAGAGATACTTCCCGAGGTTGGTATCACCCTGACTGAGCCCGCCCTCTCGCAGAAAGAACTCGTCGGAATCGATCTCCTCTATGACCCCGCGGCGTCGTCGATCGCAGGAGCTACCGCTCGAAGGCTGCTGCTCCCTCTCGGACTGAGCGGACGAGGGCTCGTTTTCCTCGTCCTCGTCCATTTCCTCGTCGTACTCCTCCTCCTCCTCCTCCGACGGGGTCTTGTGCACCCCGTACCTTCTCGGATCGACCATAGGGAAGTTGCTTCCGTATTGCTCTTCCTCTCTCGCGTGCAGCACCTCCTCCAACGACTTCGATCGCAGCACGGGCCTGAAGTCCTCCTGGGCCATCTTCTTTACCATCGACCAGTCCTCCTCTCCGCCTTCTTCTATGTCAGTTCGACCCGATTAGAACAGATTCGCGGCGCGATTAATTCCCGTAGCTTCAAAACTCGGTGTGTACGTTCTCCATATGTATGTATCTCTACGTAGCATAATATAAAGTCCCTGGAAGGCGTTCGGCAACGTAAAATCTTTGGATACAATTTTTAGTGCAATACCACCCGTCGATACGTTACCAGCATGTCGGTAAAGACGTTAGGAATGGCGCCATCTAGCGGCGACTGCTTCAACTATTCGAGGATAAAATCAAGGAGGAGATTAAACCATTCGCCGCTAGGTGGCGCCATTAATCTTTTTTTTTTTATCGGACAGTATGGTAACGTACCGATAGG